AATGAGAAATGAAAAAAATTCTTACGCAGTATCCAGGATTATTTGGAAACAAAGGGCATTCTGCTGATTCGTTATAAACCATCCTTGTTCAACTTGTTACACATGGAGTAAAGTCGTCTGGTCTGTTGACATTTTGCAAAAGGCGGATGTTCGCTCAATAAAACCATATCTTATATTAAGGACAGTTGACACAAACAAAAAAAAGGATACCTAGATCGGTATATATTTTTGGACCTATTTTGTTTGAAAATGATGCAAATAATTAATTTCTAAAATATTAGGAAATTGTAAAGTTTCTATGATGTGTTCAAAATTCTTCCTTTCTGCAAACATCCTTATTAATCTATAAATATTTTTGTCAATTTAAATCCCATTATTGTGAAACTTTGAATGAAAAATTAAACACTATGCTGTTTAACTTATTTATTTTACTTGTATAAATATGAGTTAAGTTGTTATTTTCAAATTTTTTAAAATAAAAATTTGTTTTTATCATCTGTCCTTCAAAAGAGATAATTTTAAAGTTTGTCTACCTCTTATCGGCATAAAATGCCGTACATTCTCGATCTCTCATTTTCTGGTAGTTGGTTATTTTGTTGTTTTTTTGTTTTTTGTTTTTACATATGTTTCCTCATATCATTATATTTTAGAAAATAAAACTATAAAATAACAGAAATGTTAATTGCTTTTACCTGGACACATAACACTTTTTTTTAACATACTAGAATTTTGTTGACAACATGTCAATGGGATGACACAAGAATTTGAATACTAGTAGCCATACAACCTTTATAAGCATTTTGCTAATACGCATAAAAAAGTTGCTTTTAATTAATCCATTTTACTTGGGTAGCGAAGAAGCCACAAAAGTAATTCTATAATTTACATAAAATACGTATTATTGTATGTATATCAAAGTAGACACAAGTGAGCATAGGCCTCTTATGTTAATATTTCAAATAATAAGTTCATTGCAGGTTTGAAGTTAATGATTATAACGAAGTAAATTCTGATTTAAAAGAGATGATTTCAGAGGCTACTGCATAAAATGTATGAGGAGTTCTTGGAACCAGGTTTCTGTAAAAAAAAAAAAAAAAAAAAAAAAAAAAAAAAAAAAAGTCATTTTTGACCCCCACTTCACCCTATTGCACATCTGCAGGACACCACTAATCATCTTGCAAAAGATGAAATGTCTACTATATTAGAAATTCTAGCTGGGAATCAGGGTTTTGTAAAATAAAAATGTCGTAGTGAAAACGACATTTCCAAAACCTTATTGCAAATCTGCAGAACACCCCCATTCACCTTTCAAAAGATGAAATCGCTATTGCAAAAAATGTAAGAGTAGTTTTGGAAACCAGGTTTTTGTAAAATGAAAACGTCGTTTTTCGATCCCCATTTGGCCCCTAGTGAAAATGAAAATTCCAAAATCTTATTGCATATCTGCAGGACACCCCCAGCCATCTTGCAAAGAATGAAATTGTTTTTGCAAAAATGTAAGAGGAGTTTTGGGAACCAGATTTTTATTAAATGAAAAAGTCGTTTTTCGACCCCCATTTGGCCCCTAAGGTGAAACTGAAAAATCCACATCTACAGGACACCAGCACTTACCTTCCAAAAAAGGATTTGGCTTCTATTTAAAATGTATGAGGGTTTCTTGGAACCAGGTTTCTGGTCTTTTTCGACCCCCCCCCCCCTCCGAGACTTTATTGCACATCTTCAGGAAACCACCAATAACCTTCAAAAAGATTAATAGACTTCCGCGTAAATTGTAATAGGAGTTCTGGGAACCAGGTTTTTGTAGGGAAAAAGTTATTTTATTACCCGTTTTGACCCCAGCGTAAAAACGAAAATTCCGAAACCGAATTTCACATCTACAGGACATCAGCAATCACTTTCCAAAAGATGATTTAGCTATTGTGTAAAATAAAAGAGCAGTTTATGGAACCAGGTATTTTGTAAAAAAAAAAAAAAAAATTATTTTTCACCCCTCCCCCACCCTTTGACCCCCAAAGTGATAATATAAATTCCAAAACCTTATTGCACAACAACAGAACACCCCAAATCATCTTGCAAAAGATTAGATGGTTACTGTTAAAGTGTATGAGAGTTCTGCTTAGATGTGCAATACGGTTTTGGAATTTCTATTTTCATCCTGGTGGGCAAATTGGGGTGGAAAAATGACGTTTTAAAGTTCCAATTTGCGCCTATTTTCGTTTTTTTTTTTAAAGAAAAACATTTTTCTGAAATTCTCTCCTTCAAATAAGAATTTCCTTCATCAAAATCTTTAATTTCAGACCGGTAATGAATTTATTATTTGAAATACTAACATAAGAGGCTCATGGCTATATGCTCACATGTGCATTTTATGCTCACTTTGATACATGTTAACATATTTTACGTAAATTAAACGAAACGCTCTGCTCTTATCACTTCACCATGCGGGCAACGCATGTATAAAAGACAATAAAATGAATACATCTTTCTTTTTTGACAGGCTTGCGCAAAATAACACAATTTTTTTTATAGAGAGACTTCGACATCCATTGTGTACATCAAAATAATTTATAAACTAAGAACAGATTCTTGAATTTTCTCAGAATAGGATTTAAAAATCCGGTGGAAAAACTAGCTTGGGATATTTTTCCACAAAGTAAAAGAAAATGATATTGACCTCTCTTGAAAATCTTTCATTGGGAGAAGACGCCTTAAAACATTACACCATCTTACATGAAAAATGTAAAGATAACGAAACAGTGATCAGGCTAAAAATTAATAGAGAATTAAGAGTGAGGCAAACAGGGCCCCTTGAAAACACCAGATGTGAACAGGTTAAAAAAGATTAGAATGAAAACAATAGCCTTACAGCTTATAAGAAAAACTTTGGTCAGCATTTGACCCTGTGGCAGATTATATTTGCAAACATATGTCATTGTAATTACCAGAGAATTTGCAAAATGTATTATTTTTACGAGTCTGTTGATTCCCCCTGCAACATCAACTTATTTATTTTTAGCATGTTTAGAAATTGACCTTACACACATACATGTAAAAAGCTGCATGAATAGGGGAAAAAGAGGATGAAAGTTGCAAACATCTCGTTTATCAGAAGATTAAGTTGTAAGTTTGCCATCAATGTTTACATGTATATCTCGTAAATTAAAAAAAAAAATTTCAAAATTAAATTAAAAAAAAAGAAGTAAGTTTTTGACAAACAAGTTGATGAAACAAGAATATCAGCAGTCTCATTTAAATCATCACTTCGTAAATCCTATGGTCAATACAATGACCTTGTCGGCAAATACAGTCTATCATTAAGTCCAATGCTGACTGATGTTTTTCATACTAATTGTTAGACCATTATTTACACACTGAATTGTCGACAGATTTTTCCGTTATTTCCCGATCATGACAAGGAACACACGGAGGGTGTGACCGGTCGGCAGGGGATGCTCACTCCTCTATGGCACCTGATCCCACCTCTGAAATTTTAGAGGTCCGTGTTTGCTCTGCTCCTGATTTGTATTGTTTAATGGACATTTGAACTTGAATACTGTTCGTTACCTCCATACATTTCGTAAAACATCCAAATATGAAAGAGTTGAGTCAAACTCTGCGGTGTCTTTTATTTCGAGTTCAGTGGGATATATCGAATCAACTATGAATGAATATTAATTGATAAAAAGTCACCAATATATCTGTCAAATAAAGGCCATAGCAAGAAATTCAGAGATTCCTCTGATCAGCCAATGACTTGATTTTATTTTATTTTACTGAGGTAACTAGACCCTTATGTCAACTACTTGTAGACTTGATATAAGTAATTTATGCCATTCACTCTAATTCATTATAAAGAGCATATTATGAATTGACATCTAAAATAACATAAATATATTTTCATAAAAAAATTCAAAATCTGTAATTTTACAAAGGAAATCAAAAATGCATCATATACATTGCACCGTAATTGTCTTTTTAAATGAAAAATAACATGCAGACATAAATAGCTTATGACCTGATAAAAATAAATACTTATATACAGAACAACATACATTAAATTTTGTATTCCTGCAAAATAAATGATAGAAAATATTGAGACAAGACTCAATTTGGTGGTCATCAAAGCACTACTTGCAGATATAAAGACATTTATTCTATTCATCCGATTCATAAAAAAATTTATTCATGAACAGATGAAGAAATGTGCAAATATTTTTATGAGACATATACCATCATAAATTATAATAATTTAAACATGATTTTGCATGCACATAAACATATCAGTAATTGTACATATGCATATCAGAGAAGTAACTGATTTTTCATTGGTTTTTGCAAAAACATATAGTTCTTTAAAATTGATTTTATATCAAATATATTTGGTCACAAACAGTGTTGTTTAAAATAAAGAAAGACAAAAGTAAGAAAATGATATTATGATGTCTTAATTCTGGTTTTAAATATAAATGGTTGTTCTAACAGCTTGCAATGTGTGTTATTTAGATAATAGCTGTGTGAAAGATGAACACATTCATGGTAAATGTATAAAAATCATAAGTATCACAATGTTGTCTCTTGAAAATTCATTTAAAGTAAGTGAACTATAATTGTACCTCTCAATTAAAAGAGGAATTATATTAGCTATACAATTTATAGAGTTACTTCTAAAAATGCACTCAGTAAATAATGTTGTCAAAAAACATTCACATAAAACCTAAAAGTACAGTCTTAACATTTGTTCTCACTGTGCCTATAGTTTTGAGGTATGGTGGGTTTTGCTCATTATTCAGAAAGATTTTTGAAATAAACAAAATGTATTGAGCCAAAATTTTATTCATCTCTAGGCATGGTTTTGAAATGGATCTTACATAAAACTTTGACCTTTTTAAACATTTAAATTTTCTGTCTCATGTAACCCAAATTTTATAGTTATAATGCTATGGGTTTGCACATACATGTATATTATAAAAGACTAGCAAAAAAATATTATGTTGGGCTCAAAAAATTGATCTATTAAATTAAACATTTTATTTATTGAAATTAGTCAAAAGGATATGGTATAGCTTATAAATGGCTTAAATTCACAAAGCAGCATTTTAAATTTTATTCATTTATTTAATATTTTATTTTATTTACTTATTTATTTATTTCTTTTTTTAAGGAAGGGGGGGGGGGTCAACATTGAAATAAATAAGTGGCAGATTTAGATAAACATGTAAAATAAACAACATACACTTCTAACACAAATATTTGTTCACAGTCTAACAGAGCAACATCAACAAATACTCTATACCAGTATATAATTATTTGTTCATGAATCAGGTTGAGAATTTTCATAGTAAAATTAAATTTTCAATACCAGACTCTGGTAATTAAATAATCATACATTAATGTTTGCCATAACCATTAAACATGTCTATAAATTAAGACTGAAACAGTTACTATAGCATAGTAATGATTTTTTTTCTCTTAAAATTATGCTGCTTATCACTTGTTATCCTTTCTAAGTTCTCAAGCGAATATCTTCCATTTTCAGATTTTTCTTCTACTGGTACACACATAGCAATCTCCAGTAAAAGGAAATAATCAGATTTACAGTTGAATCACTCCACCTGCCTTATTTCTTCACTTGATACACTGGGTGCGGGATCGAATTCCTGTATTTCAGCTTTTTTGGTTACTCTGGCCATAAAAGCCACCTAAAAAGGAAAATATACATGTATTTAATATTGAATTTTTCAGCTCATTACTTGAGTATGCTTAAACTTCAGTATGTTTAATATGTTGAGCCATTTTTACCATCACTCTGACTGAGTCAGGAAAAAAAATGATTATCCATTTGGACCTTATGCTTACTTTTAAAATTTATTTACAGCACCTTCTGTTTGGAAAAAAAAGTGTCTTGATCTTTTTTTGGAAAACAATAGTCTGTAATTTAGTATAAATGTATACTACAGGTATTGATAGAAGTTAAAATTAAATGGTCAAGCTCAGGGGCCATAAAACTTAGATGAGCTCACTTTTGATCTCAGTCCCACTTTTACAAAAGGTATAGTGAAAAAGTGAGACTGAGATCAAAAGTGAGCTTCTGTAAGTTTTATGGCCCCAAAGCCTGGTATTTGTTTAAAGGCTTTCTCAAGAAAACTCTCATTATTCAGCACCTACATTTACAATGAGATAACACACATTACACATCTATGTTGGTAAACCAAAATTTCATAACCAAATGATAATGGGACATCCCTACTACAAATATTTAAAACTTGCTGACTAAACAAACTTCTTTGATGCTTGAAACCTGCTTTTCATTCTTTTGAAATCAATATCAATTTCTGCATGCACAGGAATTGTTTTGACTTCTTATGAAGCAATAGCTATCCATATCATATCAAACTGCATTTCAATATTTTTTTCCTTTTCTCATGAAATTCTACATTTTAAATTTTTCAACTTTGGCTGGGAAGTAAAAATAGTTTTAAAAACATTCATGAAATAGAAATATGCAGTTACTGTGAGCACACCATGTTACTTTTAAAAGATTTGTCACCCTGATGAAATGTAATTAGCCTCAGGTTAGCTGATGACAATTATTTATACAATCCTATCATTGTGTGTATTAGTATCACTTTTTATGACATTTAATTGCAAAATAAAAGTGTAAAACAAAATAAAAGTGAATATAAACAAACAACGATTCACCAAGGTAAAGACACAAAATCTAATAAATATTTCTATATAAAATATAGAGTGCTGTATCAAGGAAATTTTTGCTCTGTGATACATTTGCCCTTGTTGCCAGTAGGTAATTTCAAAAGGAGGGCAGGAGGGGAGAGACAGAGGGAGTAATGTCTCTTTTTACACAATTGTGTCTAGCTGAATTTACTGGAGGAGAAATTCTTTGAAAAGCGTGATAGGGCAAAAATAACATAGAGTTGAAAATAACCCTGTATACAGCAATTATAGTGAAGATTTCAGACTGCATGTTCCTAAAGAATGTTTTATTTATTTAATTTTTTAAAAGTGATAATCAGGGTTCAACACATTGTTACAGTCATACAATATCATAAACATTCAATTTTCAAGGAGAAAAAGAATATTAGTAAGACTAAAGCACTAATCATTCTTTATCTGAGGCAGAAATAGAATATAAGTTGGAATCATGCACACATACCAACAACAAAAAAAACAACAACAACAAAAACATACAACAAGAGGCCTATTGGTCACAATGCTCACTTGAGATGAAAATTTGAAAAATTAAAGATGACAAATGCACAAAATACTATGTGTACAACATACTAACATATACATGTACATACAAGCACTGAACAAATTGTGATCAGAAAAGTTCATGTAAGCCTCTTGCTTAGTTGAGCTAAAAAGCATTAAAAAACATAACCAAACAAAACAAAATGTCAGGATGCTAAGGCACACTATTGGATACCTGATATAACAACAACTCAATGACTCCTGGAATGAGACATGCTTGAAAACTTGTTACGAGTGGAATCCTCCATTAGAGGGGAGGAGGGGCTTTCCTCAGGACAAGTAAAATAAGACGCTACTGGATACTCCCTCACTTTTCCAGGATTTACTCTGTGGCTCAAAAACGCCATCTGTTGTCAAAAAAGAGCAGTTTCAGCAGCAGATGACATTTTTGAAACACTTCTCTAAAAATTCTTCATAGAATAACATGCAGACTCATTGATTTAATTAGATTCACATTTTGTTGATGTTACAGTTAATGTTATGGTTATGTTGAATTCATTCGAGCAGCTTACTATAGTTAATGAAGATTCATTCAAACAGTGTTAGAAACATGTTTAAAATCAGAGTAACTTTATATACAAAGCAGCATATCTTTCCAACAGCTGATAATGATGGCTTAAGCTGAGCTAGAGGGACCACTGACATGTTTTACACTGTAATATGTGGCATGGTAACATTAGCAAGTAGGGTATTACACAAAGCACCATATTCTCTACCATTCAAACAGGAAAATGACAAGTAAATCATCCATTTACAAACAATTGTGTAATGACTTCATGAATTAACAATCTCTATATTTAGCTGTAAAAACTGTCTAGAAACACCATTTTCATTCATTAACATTTTGATTTTTGTTTGAACTACTATAGAAGTAAAACTTAGTTAAAGTAAACATGCTAATAATGAACTAATGCTTACAGTGATTTTTACTCCCTGTAGTTAACATCATATAATCATCTTAATAGATGTGACAAGTTACATTTATAAAGAGTCAAAGTTTGTTGTCCTTGACATTTCATTATAAGCATGGTTTACTGTAGTCAACTTTAAAATAGGGTTATTTTTGTGCAATATATTCCTCCAGTGGTGAATTTCAGGAAGAGTAGGTGCAGTGTAGAAGGTAACTCTGAGGGTTATACCGTTATAAAAACAGTGCTATGAATTTTACCTTGATCTGTGTAGGAGTGAGCTTCCTTAATGTTTCTCTATCCATTCCAAAAACTATGGCATTCATCGCACCTTTAAAACCAAGTATACATATATAAAGCAAGTGTTGTAACAAAAGTAAGAATGAAGGTCTGTGGTCAAGGAAATTTCATGATCCTAACATTTATTTAGTTAAAATGATAATGCAACATGCAGTACCTCTGAAAAATAACCAAAAAACCAAATTCTCACTGAATTTAAAGAATCATAAACATTTTAGTGCTTGACAACTGTAACAATATATTACCTTAAAAATTACATATACTTTTGAAACCCTCTGAGGGTTGGATGAGATCATAGTTCAATAAATTGTACATAACATGCCTAAAGATGCTCTTTGCTTCTTTACTACTCAATACTATGCATCCCTGCCCCCCTCTACTCTCTCATAAACAAAATTCTACAGTATTCTCATCATTTAATACACACCAACTTATACAAATTGGCAAATTTGTATTGAATGGGTATTTTCCCCTATCAATTTTAGTTTTTTAAGTTAATTGCTGTATATTGTTAAGTTCACAAAAGAAGTTAGGATTAACATACACTGCATTTTCTAGTTTCATAAAGTAAAAAAAAAAAAAAGACACATGAAGATAGTGAGATGGTTACCATGCAAGGGAGCTGTGAGTGCGGCCAATATGACTAGAGCAAAAACAGGGTCATCTGGAGAGGCGGCATTCTGTATTCTGCAATATGTTAAATATGCTGGGTAGAAAAATTCAAAAGATGGATCAACACAGAATGTATTTCTTATATAGCTAGTTACCGCAGATTCGGATACAGTAACCGTTGAAAAGAATTATATTCTTGAATCAAAAGATATAAGTTTTAATTTGATGCAATGAATAGAACGTTTCATTAATTAAGTAATTAATTTTTTTGTCACATGTTGAAGTTTTATTTCTAAGATTTTTTTTTGTCTTTTAAATTTGCATGTTTTTAGTATTAAAGTGACTGAAATATTTTTGACTTCACTTGAATTATTTTCAATTTAACATGCTTAAAATGTTATAAAACAACCTTTGTCTCCAAAACAGAATATAAAGAAAATATATTATCAGTAAAAAAGATAATATACAGTCATGCACTTCTCACTGCTTTTAAAGGCTCTCTAGAGCTCTCTAGTAAATTATATGAATAATCATACAGACCTATTAATTAGAGGGAATATGGAGGCAGCTAAATAAATAAATGGATAGGCCCTCAGAGATTTGATGTCATCTTTTAGCATGGTTGTCTGTCTTTCTGTGTCAGGGTCATATGTACCTTTCCAAGTGGACAACTAAATAAAACAATAATCAATGCTTGCTCAGCTGAATTTTATGAAAATTTATGAATGTGTAAATAAAGAAGGGTGTAGATAGTGTATTAAATGTTTTATTTGATTCACTTACTCTTCTGTTCAGTGTGACTATAATGTAAATATAGGTCACAACCAAAACTGTAATAGCTATGAATAACGGTCCATACCATCTGCAAAATAATGCACCAGAATGTATTCTATAAACTCTATTTTTTCCTTAAAATTTTATACATCAGTCCATCTTTAAAATAATGTTTGTTTGCCCTCTCCTGACTCAGGGTAAAAAAATTGAGTCTGTAGGTAGGTGGGAAAATTTTTCCCTAGAAAATTTCAACATTCATATTGACAGGATGAGAAAATTCAGGAATAAAAGGAAAAAAAATTGTTTCCTTGAGGTTAAAATATATATATACCTTTTAAAACCATATCAATAATTAATAAATGGAGTTAAAAAGATTGTGGAATAGAATACAATTAACAGCATGTTTTATTGAATTCCCAAATAACAAAGCATGCATGGAATTTTAGATGTACTCACATTCCAAATCTCCAACCAAGGTCATTTACAATCCAGCTGTAACAAACAAAAAAACCATTGTTTAAAATAACACTAGAGAGTGTGGTGTAGTGGGTGTTTTAAATATGGTTCTCTAGTCTATGGCTACTGATTAAGAGCCATTCTTTGTAATGACTTGAACTTTTATATGGGAGCTGTGGCACGCATAGTCTCAGAATTTCTCCAAACTCTCTATGATAAAAGTCTTTGATACCGTAAACTCAAATCAGGCAAAAATTGGTTGCTTTGTGTCATGGTTACCATAGCAACATGTCCTAAAGTTTGAAAAATGGCATTTTTCAACATCTTCAGAGTCCCACAGTTAACGTTTGCAGCAAAGCAAACAAGTGGCAATGACTGTTTCTGAAAGTTGAAGGCCTGGTGTCTTGAATGCATGATAAACATGTTTGGTAAATCATCTATAACATACGTTACTATGGAAACAAAGTATTCAAAAGTAATAATTTTGTTCATTTAATTTTATAAAGTCATACACTTAAGAATAATAACAGTTATAGGTTGAAATGCAATCAAATAATAGAGAGGAGATCATTGTAACATATACCAACTGGCAAGGACAAAATATGATATTTCTTATAGGTTGACAATGGTTGCCATGGTTTTAATACCATGAAGGGATTTTAAATTTACTCTCTTAGTGTATTAATCTTATCCTATCTTTTTAAAAAGCATATTTCTATATAACTGATGATCAATTTTTAAAGGCCTTGGTGTGACCCTAATTTTCACATTTCAAAAAATTCAATTTCAATTCTTTAAATAGTGCGTTGCTATGGAAATAAGGCGAAAAAACATGCATAAAAATCTGAGAAATACTCTGTTTCCTTGGATACGTACTGTTGTAAGTAGATTCCCAAAACTTTAATGATTGATATATGTGACCAACTAACCTGACTTTCAATTTTGACTATCACCCAATCTCTAACTGGATGCAAAAAGCTGGCACATAGGGTCTAATATTGACAAAAAATTAACAAAATCGGACATTTTCTCTTCTTGATAACCATAGCAACAGTGTTGTATTTTTCAACAACCTTTATCAATATATGATATTCAACTTAAGTTCTACGAGATATGTATTATTCAAGGTGATTCAAATAATATTTTTCTTGATTAAAAGGTTAGTAAATTCCTAAAGCAGCAAAAAAATATCACTTTAAACAACTAATACGTTGTTTCCATGGTTACACTGCAAAGTAACAATTAATCTCAATTTTTCTTATGTTGTCGGTGTTGCAAGTTCCTAAATATGCATATGTGCCAGTCGTGAATTTTATTGTTTTTCCTCATGATAGTAGCATTAACCCAATCATAGCAACAGATTTTGCATGGTGACACTGTGTTACCATGGCAACCATGAAAGTTATTTTTAGAATAATATTGCCAATACCTAATTACATGAGGTAAAATATTTTTCATTGTTTTTCTTACGTTGTTGATTGAGTTTGATCATGTAGCATCTATCATTTGTGACTATAGAGCGTTTTTCAGCATTTTTCAGCATCTAAAATGTTTTCCAAATGTACCCATGGTTACCACTTACTTAGAGATAAATTCTAAATAGTTTCTTTATAGCATAAGTGGCAACAAGGTGTCATGTTTTTGGGAGAATGGTTTGTTTGTTTTTCTTAGTCTTTATTCAGGCTTAATAAAGATTTAAAGTAGCTGAAAATCTCAATTTTTTCAACTTTTCTGGCTGTTACCATGGCAACTAAGACACATAGCAACGAAATTTTATTTGATATATGTTTCTGGTGTCAAGTTGTAATAATGGGCAAAGTTTCATCAAAATCGGTGACCATGCGTGGCAAAGAAGTTTAAGTGGTTACAGAGAATCGCTATTAAATCTCAGTGAAACATGTATGTGTATCAACTGTATGTGGTTTTGATCAAAAAAGATCTGCAAACACTGTGGTAGATGTTTGTATGAACAGTACTACTTGTGTTGCAATATTATACAACATATGGCAATGACTCATGTTATGGAACTATTTCCAAGAAATAAGGCAATGCAAGAATTCAATGAGCCTAAATGACAGATTGGCATTAATTAAAACCTTTTCATTGGTACTAATCCGCAGCTTAACACATACATACCACCAAGCACCAGCTGGTCCATAATGGTTTCCAGCAAAGGGTAGGAACGAAATAATGGCAGGAACGACCCAACCTAGGACATGGAAGAGTCTAAAAGACAAAATTATCATAGTTCTTGAAATTGAGAGGGATTAATCATAATCCAATATACCACTGTTCAATGGCATATGCTTTGTTTTATGAAAAAAAATGTATATATGAATTACAAAACATTGCTCACTTAAATAATAAGTACTCACATTTCAAACTTCTCTATATTTCTTGTTTTCACTACATTCATAAATAAATTGAATGTAATTATACACACCCATACCAACACACACCAGTCTGAAAATAGATTTTAATCCATGCATTGGTAGATATTTGAAATTTTTAACATGACCAACAACCCAAAAGCTGTATGTGTTATAGAATTACTTTTTCCTTTATTGGCTTTAAAATTTGACTTTTTAAAAAAAAATCAAAATTAATAACAATGATTAATATGCAATTTAACAATAAAACATATGCACTATATATTGCTTTTGTTATTCATATCTGAGTATAAAATACAAATATGCCTTAATATGAAATATCAAATTGGACATACCAAAATAACTTAGCCACCAGGCTTGAAAATCACACATCGGTCCATCAGGGCGTATATCTCCCTATAAAAATATTAGTAAAATGTGAAAGACTCTGCAGGGGCTAATCCCCATTCCCTTAGGATCCATCAATGAAAATGTTGAATCCATTTATCCAAAGACTGTGATTATAAATTTTGATTTCACAATTAAGTTTCATGCTTACTTTATTTTATACACTATAACTAAATTTGTACTACATGTACATACATATATACAGTGTATAGTACATTGTACTCACCATTAAATAAGCTATACTGTCAAAGAAAGCTGCTATACTCAAATACAGGATCAGTCTCTACAAAAAAAATTGATTAATACTAGGGATGGCTATCAGAACAATCTTTGTAAGAATTTAAGTCATAGTCGTAAAATTTTCAGACCAAGTAACTGATTAATTGAAAAGATAAGACTTGTTTGTAATTTTATTATGAATTAGTCAAGTAATACTTGTCAAAAATGCACAAATGTTCCAGGAATCACAAGGTACTTTCCTAATAAAATTGAAAGTTATGGGAATTTTGTGCTTATCACATCACCAACACTGCTACATACAAATTGTTCTTAAACTCTGTGAAGAGTAAAGACTGTTTGGTCTTATATTTTTATACATGTACTCTAAGTCTTGGTTGTAAAATCATGGCCGTAGAAACCGGGGGGGGGGGGGGGGGGGGGGGGGGGGTTTATAGCTACTATATGCTCGTGCCCCCTCAATTAAAAGTAGTTGATAGTGCTCCCAACTGAAAATATATGGCTGTGCCCCCCCAAATTGAAATTGCTTCCTACGGGCCTGAAAATTTTGCAATCCCGGTAACTCTATAAAATATCACCAAGCTCTCGATGATAGCGGTGGTAGTTTTTTGTAGAATAAAATGCTAAGTTTTGCAGTGATTTATAAACAAGAACAATTACCCAGTAAAACTGTGCCAAGTAGAAAATTAGTTTTATACTGGGGTACTTAAACTTTAAATTACCAGTAATATTCAGGCCGTATTATAATGACATTAAAGTCATATATGGTATATTTTTGATAAGTTCAGACTAACTAAAATTAAAAAGATCTTTCTATTTGTTTTATTACTTTATATAAAAATAGGACCTTCCTGTAAATAACACAATTTAAATCAATTGCATTTCATAGATATCAAAGATTTAAAACAATAACCGATTTATTTACCAACTCCGCATTTAAATATCAGACACAGTTACTGTTTAAAGTCAATTTAACTATGGAAACATGGGGTTATTCAAGTTCAAAATCGGTGAAAATTTTAATTTGAATGTAAATAACAAATATCATGTTGATCTACACTTCATCTCGTATTTTTATTTTTTAGCTCATATATACATGTAGCTTAAAAATTACAGGGACTTGTTTTGACAACATCAATGTCTTGACAATTATTTAATTGGTTGTTTGCAACAACACAGTTTTAAATACGCTATCAACAAGTTTTTAAAAAGAAAATAATATTAATTTTTAAGTACATATACTGCCAAAAATAATGACTAACCAGTTATGAAAATTGTAACCAGGGATACATTCTTTCCACTTGGTTAGTCATTTAACCAGCTAACCCTTAGCATCCCTAATAAATAGACACTCTATTGAGAAGAATATGATGACAGAAATTAAACAGTCTTTTCTTGTCATTTACACCCTGCTGTATGCAGTGATGTAAAATTTTGAATGATTAACCATATTAATTATGATTAACCATATTAATTATAGTTTATTTAACTTCTACTTTATAATGTGTATATACTTTGTAAAAGTAAATGTACATGTATCTGCAAATAATTACCTGTGAAAATGCAGCATGCTTTTTGAAGAGCCATATCACAACTATCATAAATAAACTAAAAACAAAAAAATATATTATATATTCAGTCATTAGACTCACAAAATAATTCTTTCTCTAAATTTCAAAGCTTCAATGAGTTGAAAATATGGTACAAATTTTATTATTATAATTCAAAACATAATTTACTAAACATTTGAAAGAAATTAAGTTTTATCAATTATACAACTAGTCAAATCTGAATCAATGATTATACATGTATCTCTCTTTAAAACTAAAATTCTTTTTTTTCAAAACAGTAAAATAAAAATTCTTACCATCCTATTAGAGATATGGAAGCAATGCCTCGCCTAACGTGAATCAGAGCATCCTGTTACCAAATAATAATAAAGATATATAGACCTATATTAGAATAATTCTATAATGCTAATTCAAATAAGGTATATCCCCTTATTTTATATTAGTGATAAATTTAATACTTACAACATTTACAGATGTGTGTATATAGTTGCAAAACATTACAATAAATGGACTTTTATTGACAATTAATATAAAACTTTTGTTTTTCAAATCTTCTTAGCAAGGATGGGGGGACACAATAAGCATGATAAGTCATTTTCTTATGGAGACATTATCATGATGAGAGCACTCAAATTTGTTCAAAACATAGGCCCTTGAGCTGGGAAAGGGGGGGGGGGTCAATTTTTACATAAAAATAAATAACTTTTGCAAGATCGGCAATGTTTTTCAACTTGGAAACATATTGTATAGATTTTACATATTGTAAATAAAGATAGTCAAAATCTTGGATTTAAAGTTTAAGGCTGAGATAAGGGGTTTAATTATATTCATTTATATATATTAAATTATTACTCAGTTTACTGAGGTTAGCATTAGAGCCCATAGGTCTCTTGCTTGATAATATAACATTCAATCCTGCACAATCTTGACTTAATTCTTAACCCACAATATATCAGACACTGGCACACTGCAATTTACTTTATTAACACATTAGTTAGTGCATGTCTGCATAATGATATTACATGACTACATACAACATAAACATGTTCAGTGTAATCTAATTTCCTAATCTTCAGCTGATTTAAATGATACAATAATGAGCCACAAGGAAGGATCACCCAGGTCTTCATTTTGGTCATAGTTTTCCTGTTGATTTCATGTGAACTAAACACCTAACTAAAGATAGTTCCTTATTTACATCATGTCTATTCATCAACATGACGCATGGATTAATGCATGAATAATTTTTTCATGGATTAAATCATGTAAACATTTGAAAAGAACTTTCAATAATAAGCTATAAAAAAATATTTCCCACATCAAACATAGCTGATAAATCAAACTAAATTTATAACATGCACTTAAAATATAACAAAACTTTAAAACGACTTGTATGTTTCCAGGGACCTATATACTAATATAGTATATAGGTCCCTGGTGTTTCTAACATTTGTCTGCCAAAAAAAAATGAAAATACAGTATAAATCAAGTGAACAGATTCTTACGCAGTGTCCAGGGTTATCTGGAAATAAAGGACATTCTGCTGACTCGTTGTAAACCATCCTTATCAGCTTATGGGGCCAACTTGTCACACATTAAACTTAAACTAGCGTCTGGTTTGTTGACATTTTGCAATAAGTGGATTTTTTTACTCAAAATCATACCTCTATTACGAAAGAGTTCCAAAAGTTTACGTCGATCCCGAACAATATTGCTCTGTGTAGTAATACTTTTGCAGCTGTGAGTCGCATACACTGATACACATAAAAATTACATAGTTTTAAATAAATACGCTCAAAAATGATAAAAACTTCTTAGAAAACTCCATTTCATATTTCGCAGAGAAATAAAAGTAGAGAACTTTCTGCGTGTTCATGTTCTTTAATATCCCTTGTAAAGTGGTCCGTGCAAGTGGCCACATACAAAATCAATGTATCGTGAAAACACGGTGCATAGTCATATTCTTCTACATATTATACACTTTAAAGTAAAGAATATGGAAAACATTTATTTTCTTCTGACCATATTTATTTTGACAATATGTATAAATACTTCGATAGGTAAGACATATAATGTACGTTAGATAAAATTTTATCTGTATGTACATGTTATATAAAATTTATTTGTATATTTTGTTCAGTGTAAAAAGTAATGTTTGGGAACATACAGGGTGAGGAAGTAATTGTACTGTTCTATTGCTGTGATTGATTCTTGTATATAATTATTATTTTGCGGGTTGCTCAATGTGCGTATTTTAATTTTCACTAACTTTCAGGAGTTGGGGAAGTGTGCATGAAGGAAGGAAAAGAACTTTACTGTGATGCTGGTTACACCTGCTGTAATCAAGGAAACGGAAAATGTTGCGGACCAGACTTTGTTTGTGGCATTGACGGAGCCTGCATTGCTTTGGCGTAAGATTGTCCATCTTCTATACTCCATTCAAAAACATATAGTTTTCAAATGTTTCCTTTCTCACAGGCACGTTGTATTGGAAGGGAGGGGGACTGCCCCCTTTTTTCCAAACATAACCTTTTACTAATCGAATATGTCCATTGAAAGGCATGCCCCCCCCCCCCACACACACACACTTTTTGTTGTAGCATAGTTAAATCATTTAAATTAGTTAATGTTAATTGAATTTGGTTGTGAAAGGAAGTTGTAATATAAACCCCCACCGACAACCCCCCCCCCCCCGAAATTTTGGTTTGTCAAAGTTTTTCTGGTGAGTTGAATTTTTTTTTTGGCTCCCCCTTTCAAAAACGATAATACGTGCTTGGCTTGTTATCTCCTTCAATAACCGTGTATTTACTTAACATCTTTTTGTTAATGATTTATTTGAGCTTTATAGAAATTTGGTCTTAAATTTTGATATTTTTATTTTAGGTACTTGATTTTTCCTCCGATCATTACTGTCTTTGTACTCCTCATCATACTCTGCTTCTGTTGTTACTGTTGCCGCAGTAAGTACAAGAATCAAGATATTTTATTGACCAGTCAAGGGACCCGAAAGGCATTTTCCCAAATTAAAAACATTATTTTAGAACAGAAATAATTTTTTCATAAATAATAATGTACAGTTATTCAAGCTTCATCGAGAGAGGAAACATTATACATGTACCTAAGATTACATGTAAAAGTGACATATATTGCTTACGATTTAGACGACACAAATCGGTTCCATTAAAGTGAACTTGTGCTGAGCTTTTTTTTTCATTTGTCATAACGGGCCTCCATACCAGTAACTATGCAGGCAAAAATCATCTTTTCTTCTGTAAATTCGACAAACGTATTTCAACGTGGGTTCAAAGTTATTTCAAGCACTAATTTGTGCACATGTGTAAGAGATATTAAGAGTCAGTCTTTGTTCAATGCTACCGCAATCACTGGTTGCTATGTTAAAAATGTAACTTCCGCTTTAAAAAGTGTGTTCGTATTATTAAACGCATCGGCAGAAAATTAAATAAAATTCATAACATGCAAGGATTCAAATTATTGTCCATTTTTATACCAATCATAACTTGCGCTTTAATCAGCAAATATGTTATTTGATGAAATCGAGAGTAACTACGGCTGAAAATATAGCGGAATCTCACTATAATAGTGATATACCACTATTATAGCGGAATTTACGTTTCCCCCCAACCTGTTAAATGCAGCTGAAGTGGTTAAAGCTTAAAAATAAAGAAATTTATATTTAAAAAAAATTAAAGGGGGGGGGGATCGTAGAAGCATGTACCTGTGGTGCTATATTCTCATAGTATAACCATCTATGATGTAAACAATTTAATGATCATTTATAACAATTTCTTTTTTCAGAGGATAAAGATAAGAAACAAGCCTTAGACAACGAGTACCCTTTCGCCATGAACGCCTATCCACCTTCCCACAATGTGCCTCCCACCGGGGTACCCCTCAGTATGATCTCGAAACTGAACAAGAAAACCCCCGTTACCCCCAAACCAACAAAACCGGTCAACAAAGCTGAGCAGTTCCTAGGACCCTCTCCAAAGTACCGAGACGATAGCGATCTTCCCAATTCACCAGCACCACCGTACTTACAGCCTCAAGGGAAAAGCAAAGGGCGCCACAAGGACATTTATTGAAATGTGTTGCATAATGAAATTACAAGTAAATGATGACTGATGAAAAAAAATCGTTGTTATTCTTTAATATTCATGAAATTATTGTGCAAAAGAGATTCAGTTGTAGGCGAGAATGACATCCTCCCCCTCCCCCCCCCCCCCCCCAAAGGGAATACGTGCATCTTCGCATCGTAAGCCTAGGACCTTTCCACACTCTGTGGAAATGAACTCAAAAATGCATGATTCAGGGTCAAAATGGGGGGGGGGGGTCAGAATATGCAAATTAAAGTACCTTACATACTAGCTAGCCGTGTCATAGAGTATATACATTCTACTCAATGCGCCCCAAAACCAGAAAGCCCCAAAGTTGAAAAGGCTCAACGATTTATCAAAATTCTTTTTCAAATTTGTTTTCTTACAACACATGTAAAATCCGATTTTATTATTAAGAAGAAAATGCGTAGATCCTTTAAAATCAATATATATATATATATATATATATATATATATATATATATATATATATATATATATATATATATATATATATATATATATATATATATATATATAAGAATACATGCTTAAAAATGGATGCAAAGACTGGTATATATATTTCTGGACTTACTTTGGTTTAGTTCGAATAATCTGTGTCTTAGGACAAGCCCTCACCACAAACCGGGTCCGTAGGACAATATCATTTCAACGATAGAACGTTCTATCTATCTTTGGTTGTAAATATTGCATATAATTAAATCTCTTTAAAAAAAATTGTAGGTTTTCAATGATCGATGTTCATTTTCTTTTTCTTTTCTGTCGTTAATACGATCTGTAGCTCGCTGGTCAGAAAAAATGGGATGGTCGTCTGTAGCTCATTCATCGTCCATACCATTTTTTTCAGACAAGCGAGCTACAGATCTGCAGCTATTCTGTCATTATTCTCACTGATAAATTAATACAAATTTTTATCAATTTATTAATGAAAAACTTTAAATGAAAAATGAATTAATTTTACTTGTGATATTCAGGATTTAAAAAAAAACCTATATTTGTATCATATCTGTTCTTAGTCGATTCAATAATATTTTTCATTTATAACAGTTTTACTGGGGTCTAATCGGAGATTTTTAAAGCGTTGACATAATTCATTGTCTAAACAGGGTAGATATGTATAAACAACTCTCTATCTCTTTTATCTCTATTTTTTTTCACAAGTGACGATCGAACTTCTCTGGAGACAACATGACGAAGCAGACCAATGCACATATACATATATACACTCTATATGACTTAAGATTAAAATGATTATTATATCGTTCATCTCGCTTTAATTTTAGGGAGTTGGGAGATCTAACTCTTATTACACAAAATGTCAAAGAATACAGGTATTGTCATCTTGGGAAAGCAATACGCACTGAGGACTTCGCTGATCATGAGCTCCTCCACCGTCAGTTCTGGATTAACACAGAACCACGTGTTTCACCCACTTCGTTTTATCTTGACATTGAGTTAAAATAGAGCTAAGGAGTCTTCCTTAGCCGATTTTTCCAAAGTACTAATGGCCTATCCCTAGGCCATGGATTCGAACCCGGTCGACACATAGAGTAAGTGAAAATCGCGAGAGTATCTATTATTTTATTAAGAAATATTAGTTAATTATTACTTTTAATAAAATTAATTTCTTTAAAAATTTGAATATAATATTTATATGAAAAACAGAAGTAGAACATTATATAATAATGTATCTTGCATTAAATAAAAACACTTCCTCAAAGTGATTTACTAATTACTTGAAAATTTAATTACTATAACAGTTTTTGCAAGGGAGCTAACCCCCTTTTTTTACGAGTCGTAGGAGCAAGTTATATATTACAATCAATGGATTTAAATGTTTGCTATAACAAGCGTGAAGACTATAATAGTATACACAAATGCAGTTAAAGTATATTAGAGTGTAATTGGCATTTTCAGCTTGTAAAATTTAATATCAAAATACGAAATTTATTTCAACAATTTATTTTTTTTTTTATTTTATTACACAAGTTGCTTTTTAGAATGATTGAATGATTTAAACAATAAGTCCTTGAGTCACAGCACATGTGCTACAGGGTTTATACTTTTTTGTCTACTTCTGAGCCAATCCTAAGTTTTTTCTCTCATTGTTAAAACCAGACTCCTAAAACATCCAAGTCAAAACGCGTTCTAGTTTTAGGACTTTTATCCAGAATTGACGTAATATAACTTTTACATAGGTTGAGGGTCTACTAGCGCCGAAGGTCCGATTCCAAAAGACTATAATTTTCAACAACAAAATATACATAAGATAGAACAAAGTAAAAGGACTAACAAGAAAGAAGAACGAAATCAATTATCAAACAACTGTTGTGACCGATGACACTTTGGCGTCATCGAATTGTACATTAACGACTTAATTTAGATAAAAGATAAAAAAGTGTCAATGAATATCAGCAGAGGTCACCTTAAGGATCTAGCCGTCCATCTCTGACTGTGCCATAGGTGGGGTTATGGCTGTGCGCGGAATTTCTCACATTAAAAGAAACATAGGATTTTTTTTGTAACAAATACATGAAGTCCGAAATTTAATATACACAATATATGTAAGTCCGAAATATACGTGCTGTTTCACACTGAACTGACACAAATGTAAAACTGCGCACAAAAACCGGACCCAATCTTTAAACAGACTCGAATCTGAATTAATTCGGAATGTTTGCATCTTAATCTGACAAATTTTGACCCTGCTTTCTAATTTGAAAAAAATGATTTTAAAAGATTTCTCCCATTTATTTACATGAAGAACTCTTTCCCCTTTTGAAAAGAAATATGTATTTACACAACTTGAAGATTTCCAATTAAGTAGACCTGGTTAATCTGACTGATTACGGCCCTGCCATTTAATATACACTATATGTATAATGTCTAATAATTGCACTGGGTTTTTTTTTTCATCAGATGATTTTGTTTTAAATTTTCCTATAGACCTATCCTATATATAGGGTTCATAATTTGGACAATCTTGAATACAACATGACACGTAAAGTCGTTTATTAGTATAATCATAATACAAAGTAACCGATTCCAAATTACATGGCGTAACCCCCCCCCCCCCCCCCGCCCGAAAATTCCAGTCATTTGCATTTTCAGACAAAAGGCAGTGGAAAGTGTCTACTTTCCTTTTTGAAACAGTCTATTGAAGAATTGTGTCTCTAGTTGACTAATGACATGAATAAATTTATAAAACCACACCAAAATTTAATGCTGCTTTAAATTTCATTTTTTGATATCATAAATGTTCATTTTCTTCTTCAATAATTTATCTACAAAATCAAAAATAATGCCTTGCCTATCTTTTTTTCTGCATAAACTGCATCAAAACATTGCTCGACATCTAGAAATCATTTCATGCGCCTTCCTTGCAAGGTTGAATGCCTGCATATCAATATCTGCCGTTATGCAGAATAATTTTTCCTATACATAGAATGTACAGTACTCCCATTAATAAATAGAGGATATTTGATGTTTTGTAGATGAATATGGAATTTATTTCACGAGTGGGACAGGATTTTTTGATATTTTCACGAGTGCGAAGCACGAGTGAAAATATCAAAAAATCCTGTCTCACGAGTGAAATAAATTCCATATTCATCTACAAAACATTGAATTTTCTGTTTATTACATTTTTTCTTTGATTTTCCCTTTGCCTCTGTCTTTTCTTAACACAGTGTCATAGGCTTGACGTCATAGCTTAGCAGTTGTGTGATTGAAAACATTACATAGCATGGATTTTAGCAACATATTTGGGAAGAAATTTGCAGTTTTAGCTCTATCAAGATGCTTAGTTACTATCCCTATCTTATGACAGGCCAGAAATTAATTTTTACTTACTCTGATATCCTTTCACACTGTGAGAGAATATCATTTTGGTATCCTTTCACACTGTGAGAGAATATCACTTTTATTCAATAAATAAATCACAGTATTTCACTGTTGAAAATGTATATGTACATGTATTTTGCTACCACACTTAAATAGCCAGTCCGAAATATCTGACGTTTTCCATGCGTTTTTCACAATTTGGTATTTTATGTACCAGGAATTTTCCTAGCACGTCAAATATCAAAATCGTGAAAAACGCCAGGAATTTCCTGGCAAATAAAATATCAAAATCGTGAAAAACGCCTAGAAAACGTCAGATATTTCGGACTAAATTTTACCTGGCTGCCAAAAGTGAACTTAATATACAAACATGTACATGTAACAATAATTAAAGGAGCTAGAAAATCATGGCCCAGGAATTGCACGAAGGACCCCTGTATGCCTGGTGAAGTGTTCTACTCATTGACCTATCTAGGCCATTATCCACAATCCATATAGCTCAAACTACTACATTCCTGACCCCTTCAATTGACACACAACCCAAATTCTTTAACCCCTGGCAGGGATTTTACCTGTAAGTCCAGGCCGGGGTGCTAAATGACCCCAAATGTAACAGGAAAGAAGGAAATTTGGCAGGACTAGGAACCCCAGATCCAAGGTTCTAACCACTGAGCTTATAATTCAGACTGATATTCTTGGTCTATATGGCCTAAACCAATAAACGCTGATGCAGTCCTACTACATGTATTGAAAATAAACAAATATGAGAATAAATCTCACAATTGTATTGATTACAATAGTGAAAGAAAAGTTTGTTTTTTTTAATTAACATGAATTCAGCTATAAAGTGAGTTATAGTCAAATTTAGATCTATGTATTTGTGACCTTTTTCACTACCAACAAAAATACTTTGGATGGTAATGGGTATTAGCCCTTTCATGATAACTGTGGTTCTGCTCTTTTGCAGTGCAAATTAATAACTTTCGGCAAGGTTTTTGCTAGCAGATAATTAAACAATTGCTGTTACATCATAACTCACCAAATATCAATTTGCCCTGCACAAGAGCATTACTGCATTATCGTACGTGAAACAGTCTATTGAAGAATTGTGTCTCTAGTTGACTAATAAGACATGAATAAATTTATAAAACCACACCAAAATTTAATGCTGCTTTAAATTTCAAAATTTCATTTTTTAATATCATAAATGTACATATACACACAAAAACTTTCCATCTACAGAAATCATGTAGTTTGCGGTATCTAATTAAAGTGTGTCAGCCTACATTGAGAGAGTGTTGAATAAAAGGGTCTGTGTTAATAAGAAACATCATGAAATCTCTTGCCATGCTTATTTCACCTTTCCAGTTCATGATAATGTGTAATTTATAAACCAAAGTAAATGATTTTTTATTCTGTATCAAAATCTTAAATATGTATATGAATGAGAAATTCATTCCAATATGCTTTTCCCTCACTGTTGATATGGATTACAAAAGCACATAATGATTGTAATTTGGAAAAATAAAAGTATTCCACATTTGTAAGTGACTACATTATGTCTTTTGAAAACAGTCTTCATACATTGCAGCATTAAAGCATTTTTCACTGCTTCCTTCTTAGTGACTTCACAAACATGTTGAACTGGTTTACAATTAGAGCAACAATACAATTAAACAAAGGAAGAGATAACAGTATAACAATGAAGTATCCCTGACAATTTTCACGTCTTGTCCCCTTGACTGGCCTCATACTTTTGTTGTTGTCTGTCTTTCTGTTGTTTGAGGAAGTTTTTAAACGATTCGTATTCTCTTTGCTCCTCCTCATCTGTAATAAAAAATATGTCTTTAATAAAAAAAAAAATAGTTTTGTATGATGGAAATATTGCTATTTCTATTATTGCACTGGTAATATATTTTTTTGTAAACAAACAAATTTCTTTGTACTTATATTATTAGTTTCAAAATAGACTTTGCACTACATTAACATGTTCTGCTTCAGCATATCAATGCAATATGATCTTATGAGTTGTCTGTAAAGATACACCCTCTTCCCTTGGAGAATGTTTACATTTCCAATGCATTTAAAATATTGGTATTTATATACATACTGCATACACATTCTATCACATCCTCAGTCACTATTACAGAAATAAACTATACCCATGAATTTTGTTTGCAGGTTGCAAAACAAACACAATATTTCCATGGCAACCCAAAATACCTAGTCTATCTACCATATATTCCTGAATCACTTTAAAAATCAACTACAGTTTTTTTATTCTGAAGAGCTTTACTTTATTACTTTATTTTTATGTAATCCTGATAATTTGATTTGTAACTTCTGAATTCCTAGTTCATTGCATGGCTAGGACAAACACATATATATAGTACTATTTTACACTGAGCATCAAGTTGCCCTTTGACCTTGCCATCAGCATAAACCTTAACCTGATATCTACTTACCCTCCTCTGGTGCATTCCTGAATTCTTCATCACTATCGCTTTCCTCCTGACCAGGAGTGATGACCATTCCTCTTAGTCTCTTATCCACTAGAGAAAAAGACATTGATGGATTGTTTAATAAATAACATGGAATGCAGTTTTTTGTGTGTGTGTGTGTTCATATTTTTCGAAATTTTGCAATCTTAGAAAATTTCAAAGAACCAGTAACAAGTAATATTCTTTGCAAAAAAAAAGAACTTATAAAATTTATTGTGAACTTAAAATTGTAAATAATAATTATAATCAAACATCTATAAATATCTACCCAGGTATTTACTTTTCTAAAGAAAATGCATGTCTATATTTTCATACATACATAATGGTCCAGTTTGAATCATTTTTTTTTAAAGTATGTATAACTAAAGTACATGTACATGTATTTCATATGAAGCAAAATGTTTTGTTTTATATCTTCTGCATTTCACAAAGAAACTGAACAACTCCGTCTTATAAGGAGCATGTACATATTATATTAAGGTATGAATTCATGTACATGTAATCCATAGAATAACAATAATTTAAAAATACTTCACATACTAACTAAAAACATGAATTCTGATAGAAAATATTTAGAAATCTTCATTCATACCTTCCATGTCACCTTGACCTTCACTGTTCATGTCATTCTGTAACCTTGACATTTGGTCTGTCTGTCTGTCCTTTTCCTTTAGTTCTTTCTCTGCTTTTAGTTTTTCATACTCTGCACGATAGTCTCTGTAATTGGTAAAATGGCTCTCATTATGTGAAGAGAGAATTCAGGAATATGTACAGAGAAGAAAAACTTAATGACAAAGTTCAGACTGCTTACTTTTCATACTCTACTACACCATCTTGAACAAGTTTGAAGAATTCTGGGATACCTTCTCCTGTCATGGCAGACACACCCACATTCTGTACATAGTGAAACAAAAAGAATGCAGTTAAGACTGTTAGGTAGTCTTCAATAAATTTCTGTTAAATATCTACATGTATTTTTTATTCATACTTATTTATCTTTTATTTTGAAAATAATATCAGAAATCTAGGCTTTTCACTATGTAACGGTACTAGTGTGTACAGGTGGTAATGAGCATCTGACAACCCCCCCCCCCCAACAGAAATGGAGAGGAGGGTTCAACATTTTTCTCAAATTTACTTAAGGAAAAACCAGCATTTACTAGTGCTTCCAACAAAGTTTTAGGTACCTTAAGTCCTGCATAGAATTCATCGAGAACAAGACTCATAGACCTGGTTAGGTTTGAAACATAGGAGGTCTCATGTTCTAACGCTTCCTGGAAAATTTCAAAGTCTGTCATCCACTCAACAGCAAACTGGTTACTTACAATGTCAATCTGAAAATACATATGGACACCAAATAAATTCTGTCAAAGTGCAGTAAAAACAAAGAATCTGTGACAATAAATACAAGAAAGCAATGCAACTTCAAACAGTGTAAATACTCATAAATTAGAATCTCTTTAGTATACATACAATGAATTAATAACAAAAACATAATTTTTATAACTGACTTACATGTAAATCATTAATTAGAATCCATTGACAGAAATGTGTAAAACTTTGGATGTTAACATCATTATGCACAAAAAAACTGTACTTTAGGAAATTTTTACAGATTATCTACATGTATTGAAGAATAAGTAAAAACTTTTACCTTGTTCATAGCTACAATGAAAGGTAGCTTGGCTTTGTACATGATACTGCAGGCATATAACATATTAGACATAAAAGTTACTGGGTTGATACTGCGAGATGTGTCCATAACATACACCACAATGGTCGGAAAAGTTGATGCCTGAAATATTTTATGAAAATAAAAATAGCAAAAGTTAGAGGAATTAAATAATCATGCAGTAACCAAAATAAGTTATCTTTGCTTTCAATCTAATTTAAATTAGAAGTTCTAAATCCGCTACTGCTTTGCAAACTGTGAGAAGCAGTAGCAGATTCGTAACATTTAATTTTAATTAGATTTAATTGTTTTGCTTTGATTTCATTGGACAATAAATCAATGTAATAACACAGCAATGAGGTAGATAGACTAACTAATGTCTCTGTGATTATGGTTCCAGAAGCTGACCAGGTGAACACTTCTATTTGTCCTGGTGTGTCCAGAATTACATATCTACAAAATAAGAGCACTTTATTTTTCAAAAGCTTGTTCATCCGATTGTAGATGGTAAAAATACATTTATTAAACATGAAATACATTAAAATATGTAAAATCATTCAGATGTATTTAATCAAATATTAATTTATATTCTATTTACTCTGTCTCTCCTGTTTTCTGTTCTATAAACTGCATGACCTGAAATGAATTAAAAGAATTCGCTATTCTGATGTTTGGCACATGAAATCATCTAAATACCTTTTTTTTCATATTGCTTATACATGTATATTCTGATCAGAAATCAAATAATAAAATTTTGCATGGCAAGACAGAGAGAGAGAGAGAAGAGAGGGAGAGTAAGTATTCAAAAGTATTATGATCGAGAATTATTTATTCAGAAATAATAATAAATAAAATAAAGAATAAACACAAAATTTCCTTTATCTTTGAATTCACCTTAGAAACCTTTAATTAAAAAGAATACCTGATCAAATCTGGTGGCAAATAGATTGAGAGAAGTGACAATTCCACCATTAGGACCCAATGAATATCTTTTTTACTGATTAAGATTCATAATGATTTTATTTTCAAATAAAATACATACAATTTGTAGTACAAAAAGATATACTTCATTACAAATCTAAGTGCACACTTTGTCGTCTATAGTCTTATACTTCTAAAAGGATACTGTTTCATAACCTCTTTGTAATTAACTGTGTCTCTAATATCTGAAATAAGATCAATAAACTATACAATATCAGCCATGGGTAAACCTCATGTACACTTTTTCCAAATATTATCTTTATATCTTTGTGTAAATTTATTAAATTGGTTGAAGAGCTAAATTAGCTCATTTTTATTAGTTAATTTGTACATTAATTTATTTGTAGATATATGCCGATTATAAATAAAATTTACTTGACTTGACAAGAAGCGTATTATAATGAGAATTTGATACTGTCATGAATAATAACTCAGGGTATGACATTTACCAATATTTGCTGGATAAGGTACTTCATGTACAGCTGGATCTAAGTTGATAACATATGGAGGAGTTTTTCTAGCATGAAGATGTGCTGTGATTCTCTGAAGAAATAAAAGTACAATTAAATGCCAAAATGAAAGTCAATAACACAGTTTTTTTAATCAAAGGTTATTGAAGCAATAATCATACTTGAACAATGGGAATTAAGAAAACAAAACACGTCTTTTTCCCTAACATTTTGAAAAAAATCTTTTGAAATCAAAAAGGTACATTGCAGTTACATGTACTTAAAAAAATATTCATGTACTATATAGTACATTTCATGTTTACTTGTTCCATGTTCATGATTCACATATATATGTTACTTTACCTGAACAAAAGTTGTTTTGCCCGAACCCGCCATTCCCAATACTAAAATGCATGTTGGTTTCTTTGCTTGTTCGGGCTTCAGATCAGTGCTAGATGGTGATAAATCTGTTGGTTCAGCACGTGTTGGAAATGCCTCAGCCATTGTTGACATGAATTGAATTTCAAGTACATCAATCCCGATAATTTAAAGTATACAAATCGTTATCTTTTATTAGTTCAGATGTGTTCGTTTTTCAAAATCTTCCTATAAGAAATCTACTATAAAAAAATAACAGATATCGATAATGACACATCAAGATCCAAAATATCTCACATTTGAAATGATCCTCGGGAGCAAGGTTCTGAAAATGCTTTTCTCAGAATTTGAGGCATGCGCACTACTGCTTAATGGCGGCGACTATAAAAATTGGTAACATACGTAAACAAAGCAAAATTTTTACGATGCTGTTGTGTAGCAAAAGTATTTATATCTTTAATTGAAGAGGAATTGCATTTGATAAAATTGGTAAATGATATTTGTATAAAATAATTTTTGATTTGTCACGATTTTTATTTTTTCCATACCCGTTTCACTATCAAACTTCCCGTCTCTTGCTCAGTCAGCCATATTTAAAAACAATGCACTACAACTGTGACGTCACGGGTGCTCCCCACACTCCGCTTCAGATTGATAACCACTAGATATGCTAGATGCGCAAGGGGTACCGAATGGTACTCTATTTTCGTATCATTGCGCATGAACGATAAACAGAAAGTACACACAATAACGAACCCGATGGTATGATTTGAGTTTGGATCGTCCGAAAGAAAAGTTTGAAACGGTAATTTAAAAATGATATTGTTGACTTCCGGTGCTTTTTTTGTAATAACAATATGCTACTCTAAATAAATTTTTAAATATTTTATACTGCTTTATGAAATTTTTCTGTGAAAAGAGATAATTTTACCAAGGTCATATAGGACACGTAGATTCATGAAAATTTTTGTTCATTTGGATACACAACCGATAAACATGGTTACACATTCATTGAAACTCAAAAGTCTTGGTACAAAAATAGTGAAAATGGTTGCTGATAGCAAGTGAATAAGCAAACTGAGTCTTAAAAAGTAGAAATATTAATAGCCCTATTGCAGGATTGAAGAAGGGGAATGTTTTTATATCATATAAAGTGTTCTGATGGCGTTTGTGATAAAAATTCATTAAAAAGTATAGTTCAAACACTGAATAATATACAGTGGAGTGTTGACTCAATGTATTTCAAATACTGAGATAGTATTTCATCTACTTTATTTGCTGACCTGCATTATCTCATTTAAAATCCTTAGGACCACCTCAATATTATTTTATATTATCTATGCATAAATTACATGGGCTTTTCACCAAATATTTTTCTTCTTTATAAAGTCACCTACCAAAAAAATATTATACAGGAACTTGTGCTTTATAATATATATATATATATATATATATATATATATATATATATATATATATATATATATATATATATATATATATATAATACTTTCATATATATAATACTTTCATGTAAATTAGTTGAATCTGATTCAGCGAGAAACATTTGTTAAAAAACACTATTACCCACTGAATGATGAAGCCACGCCCGAAAGCGTTGCAACAGTCAACATTGCTTAATGATGGGTGATATTCCAAAAAAAAGTGACTGTGCAGAATTTATGCGCACAAGGTTCACTGTTATATGTTTTTGTATAAAACATTCAGTATATTGCATGCAGTGCAGTTGAGTATAACATTGAAAATTTTCACCCCTCGAAAACCATTGTCAAACCAGTGGCAGATCCAGGAATCTTGAAAATCTTGGGGTTGAGGTAGGGGTCCACAGCCACACCAAATAAAAATAAAAATTTATTAAATCTTATATTTTGGACACAAAAAGGGGGGGGGGGGGGCTCTAAATCTGCCAGTGCAAACAATGTGCCGTTGACAATAGTTTTCTTGGGGTGAAAATTTTCATTGTTACACTCAACTACATGCAATATTTATATAACACACACACATATATATAAATATATATATAAAGCAGTAAAAGGTGATGCATGCAATTGCATACTTTCTGAAGTTGTATATAATTTGAAGTCATACTGAGCATTATGATTTAGATATGCATTGAGCATATTTCCAAATTATCATATGGATTAATATGTCGATATCTAGCTTACTGCCCATAGTAAATTTTAAAGAAGTATTGAAGTATTTGAATACTGTTAATCTTTCACCACATATCTTGATGACTGGATTTTCAGATCATATAAAATTCTTATGTCAAGGAAAAAAAGGTTTACATCAAGTTATTTGGTAAAAGATACAAGTTTTCTGTACTTCTCTGAGCACATATACATGTCCAAAATGGACACATAAAATGTTGTAAATCAGTTTGTTCATATGCAACAGTTAAAAATTTATAATTGATTAGGAGGCAACCACTTGATTCTGGGGGCTGGCAAAATTTTTCCGGTCAGATTATTTTTCTTCATCACTGGAAAAAAATTTGACAAGCAAAAAAAAAAAAAAAAAAAAAAAAAAAAAAAAGAAGAAAAGTCTAATTATTTATTTTTCTTGCCAACTACAGTTGGATTATTAATTTTCAACATTTTCAAGACTAGTTAATTAATTTCAAAAATCTGTAGGTCTTTCCCCTCAGAATAAAATGATTGTTCCCTTTTAATGGAAAATACAGTGTATCAGAGAGTTGCATATATACATACTAATTTGCTACATTGTGTAATATACAGGAGAAAGATGATTTAAAAAATGATAAAATTTATATAAAATTTTATTTCAATTCTTCTACAGAAATGGAGCATGAATTAAAGTTGAAGTGTATGTGTAGACTCTGTGGTGTGAAAATCCCCATCAATTCTAAGTCTCATCCCAAAGAAAACTTCAAGTCTGCAATTACCTCCCTTTACAACATTGACATTGACAGTGACTCTGAGAACATTCATCCTTCTAAAATTTGCACCGCGTGTAGACTTAGACTGACAAGACACAGCCAAGCTGAAGATGACATTGTAGTTAATTTACCTGTTTTATATGAATTTTTGCCTCATTCAGACAACTGTGACATTTGTTATGTAAAACCTGGCAGACCAAAGAAAATCTTAAAGAGAAAGTTAAGCATCCCATCCCAGTCCAAAAAGAACAGTTTCATCCGACAAGAACATTCCTATCACAGCGCGGACAAAGACAAGTCAAGACCTTCGACAGAGACAACAGACATCACGTCCTCTGACTGCCCTTCATCTTCATCCTCCTTTTGTTCCCATGTAGATAATTCCCCTGTAGATCATCCATCGGGTTCAACATCATGCTCCATTTGTCCCCCTGTAGATAGCTCACTTTTTCCCCCTGTAGATAAATTGTCAATTGTTGATTCATGTACAGTCACTACTTCTGAGTCTGCATCTGAAATGTTTAAAAATGTTGTTATTAGGAGCATTCCTACTGAGCGATTCTGCAATGCAGAAGTTGCACAATCTTTTATGTGTACAATTTGTCGAGGTGTCCCATGTGATCCCTATATTTCAAAATGTAATCACATTTTTTGTAAAGAATGCATTTTTGGTTGGTTTTCTTTGTCGAGCGCATGTCCAGTATGTAGATCATTGCTTGATGAGAGTGAGGTGTCCCCCCTCCATGGTCATCTTCTTCAAATTTATGATACCTTGTTAGTGCATTGTATTCATGAAAACTGTTCAAAGTCACTTTTGATTAGAAATATTGATGAACATGAAAATACCTGTTCAATGAGAGGTACAAAATTTTTGTTTGATGTAACAACAAAACCTAAGGTCTTTAAATTACCCCTTCATTCTGTCTCTGCAAAACACACACGCCATAAACGTCTGAAACCTATTATATCTCAAGTGAATGAATTTTGTAAAATGCAAGATGAGAACAAGTCTGACGTTTTGTTTTTTATGTTGAAAGATCATTTAAAGGATATTAATGATCCCCGTTGGAAACAAATTGAGAATTTGTGGTTAGGAAACGATAGTACTCTTTCTCCAGAACAGTGTTTAGCAATTAGAGTTGACCTTTTGCAAAGTAAGGGACAATATAGATCCCAGTATGATTTTCTTTCTCAAAACAATGTTCATATTTTTCAAGCCCCCAGCAAAATGGAAAGTTGTGAGAATTTGTTTATGCCATCTGCGGCTGTTTTTCAAGTTATTGATAATGAGGGCAATGTATTGTTCGAAAACTCTAAAAATCCTCACACAGAGCCTTTAAATGTAAATGAATGTTTTATGCCAGATTTTGTTGAGATGGCAACTCCAAACTGTATGGGAGTTAGGTTTTCTTATTTTGAAGCACTTTCCATTACCCTGCAAGAACTCGAGTCTGATATTGTAAATGGTTTAGGAAAACATGGGTTGAATATTGAAAATGTCCTTTTTCATACAATTGTTAAAGACGGGTGTGATGGAATGGGTGAAGTCTCTGTATACAAAGAAAAAGATTACAAAATGTTACCGGATAAAGCTTTTAGATTTTCTTTTTGTATAGTCCAAATTCAAGCTGAATATCAAGGCAAAATGTATGATGTTTTTACTGAGCCATTGCCAAACAGTGTTCGAACAAACAGACCACTTTTAGAATCAATTTCTGATGAAAACAATCATGTATCTAATGTTGTCTGCATTTTACCTATTGAAAATGAAAGAGAAATTTTGATGCAAAATCGCATGCATGTGAAAACAAAACAGGGTTGGATGTTTCATAAATTTTCATTTTTTAATTCTATGGTTGACGAAAAAAGAGACAGGGGAGACTCTGGTCTTCAGGGTAGTGGGTCAAAATATTTGTGTACTTTATGTGATGCAGATAAACAATCTGCAAAAGAATTTCTGGGATCTTTTTCAATTAACAGGTCAGTGTCTGAATGTTCAAATATAGCTGAAATTTTACGTGTCAATCCAAATTCTTTGTCAGAAAATGAATTGAAAAAAATTTCAAAAGGTGTAAAATCTGCTCCCCTTACAAAAATTGAACCAATTCAGAAAGGTATAGATGCCACACATGCAGATATTAATTTAGGACAGTTTTTTAAGAAAGTTATTGTTCGTGAAATTGCTGGTGTTACAAAATGGGAACTTACACAAGATGTAAAACCTTTAGTTCAAAATGCAGAGTCTTTGTTTGATCAACATATGAAATGTAATTGTGGAATTAATCCCCAGCTTATGATGCCTGGTAATTATGCCAGAACCCTTTTTGAAACTCCTCATTCTGTTTTGTTGGAACTTGTTTCAGATTCTGTCAGAAAAGAAAATCTGTCTTCTGTTTTGAATGTATTTTTACAACTTAGGAAAGTTTATAGATGTAAAGATCCTCAGAAAGAATGTCCATTAGATGTAAAAAATTATAAAAAAAATGCTGTTAAAATGGGGAGTCTTTTACTGGAACATTTTGATTATGTAGAGTGGCCCAATTATTTACATAAAATTATTGAACATGTTCAGCAACTTATAGAGGACCCAAATGGGCCTGGGTCAATTGGGGCTTTTAGTAGTGAGGGCAATGAGGCAGGCAACAAACTTTTTAGACATTTTAGAAAAAATCTCTCCCGACGTGGAAATACCTATGGCAGTTTGTGTGATGTTTTAAAACTTCATTGGCTTTATAGTAGCAAGGCTCTTTTTAAGCTTGCCGAGGTTGAGCACAAGAAAACTCGCTGTTCTTTATGTTTTACTTGCGGTCATAATAAGAGAACTTGTCCACTTCTTAATGCTAGTTTGTAAATCTTCTTATGAATATTTCACTAGAATATGATCATGCAGTGCATTTTATTTCATTTAATATCTTTGTTCATGATCATAATAGATTTCTTTTGAAATTTTTCAAAGTTATAGTATTACATGTACATGTTACATGTATTTGAACAAAAATATGTAAAATTTTATGTGCCAGTACAGGAGGTATTTACATGCACATAACAAGCTTATATAACTGTATATATGTAAATAGATCAATGTATATAGATCAATCTGACACATTACTCAGAAATTTACCTTCTTATATGCATTTAGTTCAATGTGCCTGTCACAAAGTATACATTCACTATGACCATACAAATATAAATATATGCACATTGAAACACTATTATGATCTTATTTCTTTGTTCAAATAGTATACAATATACACCACGTACAACAGGAAGTGCTAACTCACAGTTAAAACAATTGTTTCATAACTGAGTTGAATACACAAAAAGTATGGATCAGAAATACAAATGTCTAGCATATGGGCAAAATGTTCAGTAACAATGATCATGTGTATCAATTTGAGTTTACCCCAAAATATAAAGTCAGTTATATACTTGCTAGAACATAATTTTATGTTTAAGAAAATGTGAACAAATGGAACTACCAAAAAAATTTGCTTGAGCACCTAGAAAAAAACCCATACATTATATTTAAAAGCCCTCTATACACTGCACACTAGAGAGTTCTGATTTTGTGGTATTTTTATGCAGATAGTGATCTGCCCTTTGATCAAGAATAATATAAATTGAAATGTACAGTTCATTACTTAATTTGTGATCAAATCAAGAATTCATAACACTTTAATAGGCCAAGATGAATAGATAGAACACTTAATTCGCAGGTATTTTGCCCACTTAAGTGAACAATAGTGATTTATGTTCATCAGTACTTCATTGTCTTAGAATATTTCTCCTGGGGGTAAATGCAAGGCACCCTATGTCGAAAATGTGATAGATAAGCTCAATACTTACACCTTTACACACTATAATTTTCTCAATGTCCAAAAAATATTTTCCTCTAGTGTATAGAGCGTCCTTAATTAATATTATTGAATACTCACAAATGAGGTGATTCACATAATATATGATGAAATAATAAATTTAGTACATGACAAAATAATTCACAAAATCAGATCAATTCTGTACAGGAAATTTTCTCTTCTTACCTCTGGGTGCTTTAGAACAAGTGCTACAGATAAATTTTTTTCGACTCATGTCACTATCTAACACTCCGACACAAAATTGATGTAGCCATCTTTTACATGTACCTTCACACTGAATCCAAGATATTGGAGATGTTTCGGTAGACTCAATAATTCTACAATCATTTTCAAAATCACATGGACATGGTACCATTTGCTTACTGGTAAAAACAAAATATTGCAAATGCATACCACCACATATCATCAAACAATCATCAGACAGTTTACAAACTGAATGACCAGCTGACCTAAAAGACTGGTCAAACTGAATATGTTCACATGAAAATGTTTCTATATTTAATACTGAAACAGAATATCTGCCTTGAAGATTATTTTCATCCACCCCTCCAACAACAAATATGTATGGGCCAATCACTCCTGTTGAATGATATGAAAAACCAACAGCAGGGGAATTGGCAAATACTAGAATTTCTGTATGAAAATGCCTATTAGAATCCATCCTCAAAAGAAGTACATTTGATAATGGTATTCTTCGAAGAACACTTTCAGTTTTTGTAACACCACCAATATATACAATAGACTTCATACCTCTGATATACATAACAGTGGCAGTGTGATATGCTCTTGGCTCAGATCCTGATACAGAGAGTTTTGTCCAAATGAGACTTTCAAAATCAAACATATAAAAACTGTCATCATTGGTAACATTTGTAAACAAAGATGAACCAACACATGCATATCTGTGTGGAAAACAAACTCCACCATGTAAAATGACACTAGAATCAAAAAAGTGAGTAAGTGTATGTCCACACCTACCTGAGGGAATTTCACCTCCTAATTTTCTTAAAGAAATGCCACCTGGTGGCTGTACAATTTCAACCACACCTTTCTTGTCATTTAATTTGACAATATATAATTCATTTGACATAGAAAAACATGACAAATTGAGACCACCCCAAACAAATAGACAACTCTGAGGTGAAATATAAAAACCAGCACTTGACTGCAAGTGTGGAAACTGAGCACCTGAAAGCTTAATTTCATATATATAATCAATATTGACATCATTTTCATCAACAACAAAGGATACTTTGTACAATTTGTTAGACATGCTCCAAGTGCTCTCTTGTCCTCGTCTGGAACCACCAAAATATAAATAAGTATAACTATTAATAGGTAACGAAACATGTCCTTCTGGTGGGAAATAATCTATGTCATCAGATGCTGCACTTTTCCTTGTAATTTTTCTCAACGGATTTGCAGAATGGGATTTAAAAGGCAAAGCACGGAATTGTTTGTAAATACTCATCATGCACAGTTAATGTATAAAATATAAAAGATGAACAAAAGCTCTCCAGAACAGAATAAATAAACAGGAAAAAGAACAGATTTAGCTACCTAGGGGCCCATCACCAAGAATATACATGCATAAATACTGTAATAAGAGAATATGTACTTATACATATATTTGAAATTGAATTGTGTTTTATTAATTTACTGAGGATTAATTTAAATAAAAATGTAAATAAAGACTTTATAATGAGAAATGCAACTTACCTACATGTAGGTTGATTTCATATAATTTTATACAGCTGTTTATAATTATAAAGAAGAAATGGCACTGCACTATTTTCTACAAGAAAATATAGTAAAATCCAATGATATGTATCAGTAAAAATTCATCAACATTTAATCTACATCGATGCATTTTTATTTTTTAATATTAATCTGTCATGTTTTTTTTAATTCATTTATTATTCTTATTCATTATTCCATGCATAATATATGACACTGCACTGGATATTGATATGCGCTTCATGTAAATTGTGCGCATAGAAAACCATCGCGGCGGCAATGATCCACATTCAAGTGCCTTTCTTACTAATTATCATACAATCTTCTTTAAAAATATACTTTCATGGACACTTTTTAAAAAAATAATCGACAAAATATAACCTACCTTGTACACAGGAACGTGCAAAAATAAAAAGCGCGTCTATCAAGACGATAAATTGAGGCTTCCTTTGTAAACCGGAAATGTGAGAATTATCGTTCTTGTAACCGGAAATATTGTAACGGTTATTGCCCTTAGACAGGAGTTATCGTTCTTAGCAGGAGACACCTTATATAGCGGAAGTTTGATAGTGCGTTTTTGATACTTGTTGAAACACATTATATGCTAGTATGTTGTCCCTGATTCTATAGGGGGTTACTCTCTGTGTGTAAAAATATTTATTAAAAAATAAGATAATTTAAGAAACAAGACAAAATATTCTAGACCACAAAAATATATTGATGTTATGTCAGTAGAATTATGATTCTTGAAAGATAAATTGTACACCCCTTCCTCATCAGCCTTGGCATTAACTGTGAATACTCTAATCTAGGATGACTTTTCCAAAACAACAAATTTTCAACAACAACAACACCAAAAATAAATAAATAAATAAATAAAAATAAAAAAAATAAAAAAAAATGATGATAATAATTCAAATATTGACTATATGACCATTGAGGCAAGCAATGTTGTATTCATTGAAGTAGATATTTATTAAATAATTTAATACAGTAAAACATGCTAATAGCTAAGTGCCAGGGACAATTCATTTTGATTTATTATAAATGTAATTCTTATATATATCCATGCAGTATTAAAAACTGAGGTACATAACATGTTTTAAGTTAAATCACTGTAAGTGTGAATTCATTATAAATATGTTTGCTCCAACCATGTTTTACTTTGTGGCGATCCGCCAGGGTCAATCACTGGTGGCCAGATAGCTCAGTTCGTAGAGTACATGACTAGTGATTCTGGGGGCTCGGGTTCAAATCCTGGTTTGGTCTGTCACATTTTCTCCCTTCCTGTTACAACTATAAACACAACTAATTATATATTCCATTATAATGTACATTACATTGAGAGGTTAAAGATTGAATGCACATACCACCATTATAATGCACATTACATTTGAAGGTTAAAGATTGAATTCACCCAGTCTACTTTGTGACATAACATCATGTCATTGTCAACCCAAAGTAATAACTGCGGAATTAATTTGAAAGTATTTGCTAAAAGGGCATGTGGGCATAAAAGTTAAATTATATGTCTTTATCTTCAAACAGTTCAAATCTTTTTTGCATATAATAAAGAGAGTCCCATACAACAGATAAAATAAGTTTTAAAATTGAATATTCGGAGGTTTACATACAAAGAAAGTAAAATTATAGGTATGCCATGCTGAAATTGAAATTTCTTACTAACCATATTGTAGTGACTTGATGACTACAGATACATGTATTGAATAGATTGACGATGATGTTACAAAGTCAAAAAAACCTTTGAATACTTGATGTAATTTCTGAAATTGTGGCTCAGTGATTATATTGATTTTTTTCTTCTTTCTTTTATTTTTTTCAAAGTATTTTGTTTATTAATTTTTTTTTATTGTTTTTTTATTGAATTGTTTTTTAAATTATTTGTTTTAAAGTAATGGTTGAACAGGTTAGAATATCATTCATGAAAAAAATTTGGTTGTTTTTCTTTAACATTTATGTGTTAATTTAAAATTTCATTGCAGAATTATGGAGAATTATCATGTATTGGAAATCATTGGTGAAGGGTCCTTTGGAAAGGTGTACAGGGGGCGGAAAAAGTATTCCTCACAGGTAAGTTCGATTAATCAATGCAAATGATTTTATTCCGTGGCAAGCAGACTGGAATGGCATATTGCATATAAAATTTCTTGTAACTTACCGGGTAGTTTTTAGTAGTTAATTTATTTCTACAGGTTGTTGCATTGAAGTTTATTCCAAA